GATTTTTATCAAACCAAGGTGGGTATTTATTATTTCTTATTTTCTTCTTAGGGACAAACTTTGCAATAATGGCGTTAATTTTGCTATAGAATGTTTCAAGCATGACATCTACACTATGATGACCCTTAAAAATATTTTCCCAGTTGCATTTTGACAATTCCTTATTTATCTTTTCATAATCCCCTTTGTAAAAGTTTAACTTAATAATATTATTATTAAAACAGAGTTTTGTTTCATTAATCAACGTAATATCAACCTCAAGAGGTGGATGTAATTGATCAATAATACTTAATGAGTTATGAGAACGACTCACAGTACAAGATGGCAAGTTAGATAAAACAAGATCGAGAACTCGGTTTGACGCATTAACTATATGATTAAGTTGTTGTAAACCATTCATATGTGTAAAGTCAATTAGGAATTGATTTAGTCTTGTTAGTTTGTTATCACTCGCGACATGACCTAACAAACTCCAGTTAATACTAGGTAAATTAAAATCACCAATTATACAATGACTATCACATTGTTCGAAAACAAAACTACAATTATCTAAAAAATGCTCTAACAAAGAATAATGTACTGGTGGCGGTAAATAAACGACACAAAGAGCTATCTTGCGAATAGTTTTTGAAACCGTTGCATCTATTACAACCCAAAGATCTTCAACTTTAGATTCCCACTCAAACATACGACGAGACTTTATTTTTCTGCATACAGCGATTAAAACTCCACCTCCATCTTTTTTAGAACAATATTCAGCATCCTCTCTATCTTTTCTGTAGACAATATATCGTTGATCAAAAAGCTCATTATTAAGAACAGATTTATTTAACCAAGTTTCCGTGAGTACTACTACATCGTAATCGCAACAAAGAATTTGCTGATAAAAAAAGTTAGTTTTTGTTCTCAAACCCCGCGTATTTTGATAATACAAATTTAGAGAAGTGAATTTTATATATAATTTGTTCATAAAGTTTAAAAGCCACAATATACTTAACTACTAAATTTACTTAATAACTAAATTATTCTATTTTTTGTAGCATGTCTTTGTTTCTGACGTGGATATAATTTGCTTCATCATTCTTTCGCATAAAGATTCGGCTATTTCTTATCCAAACATATTGGTATCCCTTTTCTTTTGCTTTTAGTCTAACTGCAGCGTGAAGAGCTTTGTTCGAAGGAGACAGATGCTCAGCCACAAATACAGGAGAAGAATTGCCAGGCACTCCTAAAAGAGTGCTATTCAATTTATTTGCAGGGTTTCTTTTATTATATTTAATTACAGATGCAAGGAGCTCATCGCGTTTTCTTGGGGACGCCAGTTGTAGAATGATAGACCGTGGACGAGTATTATTTCTATTCACCTTTGCGATGCGCGTGTAGTGTATAATGTCATTATCATTCAAAACACAACCCACGGTTTTACTTAACTGCGTAATGATATTTAATAAGTTTTCATTTTTATGCTCTGGCACACATTGCAGTTCAATATTATTCTGACGCGCATGCTGCTCCATTAGGTCAACACGCAAGTTTAAATCATTAATTGTACTCTTCAATATGTCATTCTCTTTTTCCAATTCGCTTATTTTCATTTTAGAGTATTCGTTCTCCCTCTTCATATCTTCATATTGGCTATTAAGAAAATTCATAGACTCACTTATCTGTAATAACTCATCCCGTACTGGTTTCAGCTCATTATTAAGGATGTTGATTATACTCTCTTGCATTTTTGAAACTATGTTACTCGTGCTCTCTTTAATGATGTCCTGCACCACTTCCCGAATAATTTCCTTGCTCATAACAATGTTTTCACTTGAAATCGGAGGAGAGTTAGGGGTAGTTCGTTTGCAACCCCTGGTGGAAACGTTGCGTACTGGAGTGTTATCATGTTTTGTTGCTTTTGGAGCAGCATTTAAACATTCAGGACAACACCAAAGGGATCGCATCTCAGCATTATATGCGGAGTACTCGAGGCACATACATGTGTAATGATATTTTTTATTACATTTTTTACATACAATATATTTCTCATTATTATCACCATGTGGTGTACAGCAACCCCAAATCATTTTTGACATCTTTAGATTTATTAGATAACAAATTATATTAAAGATTGTTATTGAAATAATTACACGTTCACTTTTGTTATGATAACGTTTGCCCCATTAGTTCTTATGAACGTTACAAGCCAAAGGAACATTTATGCACATTACACAACCGTGAATGTCGCGTACTATTCACGCTGGAGTCCGTCGCAATAAGAATATCAATCCACCGCACAAAAGTCGCTTATAATCCAATGTAGGGAACAATTTTTTATAACTGATTTTAGTATATTTATACCCATTAAAAGTTATGTAATATAACACTATATGGTATTTATCAGATCACCATTTAAATTTTGATACACTGAATGAGAAAAAAGTTTGGAATATAATTTTAAAACGCTAGTTTACGGAACGCGTAACAACACCGACCGTCCAGTTCTTTCTTTCCAATTATGGGGCCGATAATGCTCGGGACGAGCATGTCTTAGGAGGGGGCAGTGTTGCGCGGCTAAAGTTGACTTCTGGCATTAGCGCCATCTAGTGTCGTGTAACGGAGCGAGGGGAGAGCTTACCAGAAAATGACATCACTAATCTTTCAACCGACAGCGCCATCTGTTGACGAAACGAAGAACTAAACATCTGAAAGCTAACTCTCGAACTTTCGGCGCTTTGTCGATTGGTGCGCGTATTTACTTGAATGTTCTGGATGATTCGGTACTAATGTGTATTTATAGGCGCTGCAAGGTGCGATCGGGGAAGTATTGAATTTGGCGAGACAAGCGAAGCTTCGGAGCGGAATAAAGTGAATCAGTGTGATTAATTTTTAGTGTTTTAAGTTTTAATTAGTGTAAAGAAAATTAAAGTGTTAATTTAGGTATTTCTATCGGCAATTTTTATTGTCACGAACCTCAAGCTCGTAACAATAGTATTAATGTCATTAAGAATTACTTACATATAAAAGGTAAAACATTGATATGGCAGATCTCTTTTTGCAGCAAAAAAAAAACTGAACAATTTAACATTTTTGTAGGTAGGCCATACTTAGGGGATGGCTACTCCCGTACGTTACGTCGGTACTCCGGTACGTCGGTGTCTCTTGTTGCTTTGTGGAAATTTAAACTAGAATTAACTTCGATCGAGTATCAAGATTCCTTTGGATCGTGAAATTGGTACTTTTCACTCGATCAAACAGTTATAAATCAAGTAGCTCAAACTTATTTTGAATAAAAAGGCACTTTGTTTGGATCTTATAGGATTTGTTGAATAGTTTCAATAAAAAAATTACCTATTTAAAATATCGTTTGTCCCTAGAGTTGGATAAATAAACATCAAGGAAGTTTTTTTTTAACTTAATTCCTGACGCAACAAGTATTTAATTGATCATTTCAACTAAAATCCGTTCGTTATTTATTCTCTATTTTTCCAAATAAGTGCTAAATAACATCTAAAGTCAAATTCTCTATATATTTTATTATTTTTGGACATTGCCGCAAGAAAGCACTCGTCGACACAAACTAGTGTTTTTTATCTGAAAATGTGTGTCTTTCGACTTAAGAGGCAAACGTTTAAACTATTAAAAATAATCTTACCATAAGCATTTAAGACTTTGAAGAACTGTGGCAGTTCGGCAGTTCTGAGCGCTCACCGTATATATCAAAGTACGCGAGCAACCTAAGTTCGATCGCCGTTGGTACCATTGAAATTGTTAATTGCAGTTTTAAGTAAAGATTTTCTACGTGCTCAGTGGTTAAGGAATTTTTTTATAGAATAGGAATGACAAACGAGCACATAGTCCGCCTGATGGTAAATGGATGCTGTGGTCTATAGACATCCACACCTATCTTTGATTAAGAATCATAATACAGATGGGTTATCACCCCTGGGAACTAAGATAGAATACCTCATTTCCAGTAAAAAAGGTTTTCTACACTCACCACACGAAACACTGTAGCCTTAAACTTTTATTTTACGCTAGTATTCTGTGGGAGCGTGGTCCCACCCCGATCAAGCCGACCAATTCGTGCCACAACTAATATAGCTGAAGTGTGGTTCTACCACGTACAAAATAAAAAAAAATTTGTTAAAGACATGTGAAGTCCGCAAAGATGCACTGGAGCAGCGCGTCGGACATGTACTTACCCAAAAACTCTCTTAAAATGAAACTAGGCCTGTGTTGAGTTTGAATCGAAAACGAAATTAATTCACATATTTTTGAGGAGTAGGCCTATAATTCATGGGCTAAGGTCATGGGCTGCTACAACACATAAAAATAACTGAAAAAGATAAATGTAATTAATTCGTCTCTGTATTAAAATTTTCGTGTAACTTAATCAAAGACTGACTATATTCTAATATTTTGACGCAATCTCCGAAGTATCTTATTTCAGATTGTTTTAACTCAAGCTAGTATTATTAAATTATATGAGTACTATAGATAGTACATGTTGTTCCGAGAAGATAAAGATATTATGTTACAAGCTCTCATCGCTTTCAGGATAGTGAAATAAATTGAGTTTTATGTAGAACGTATCGATAAAATAGAACATACACGTAGATATCAACATAAATTAATTATGTAGTCTATAAGAACGAATAGGCGATTCGTTAGCGAATATTTTCACATTTAGTTTTGAATATTATTTAATTCTATACAAAAAATAATATTTAAATCTCTTCTTTTTCAGGTTCCAATTGAAGAATACTCCTCGTGTAAATATAATTTTCGTGCAGTGTTTTAACCGTTCATAAAGTGTTTATTGGTTGGTTAAAATAAATATTGAACTGATCGAGATAAGATTGAACTGATAAATCGATAGATGTACTGAATGGATTCCATGAAGGGAGTGGGTCGCTGAGCGTGGATGGTGTTGGGCGGGCGCTGGCGATGGCGGCGCGGTGCGGGGGGGGGGCGGGGCGCGGGCGACGGTGAGAAAGGCGAGAGCGGGTGTGATGCGCGCACACGTGGCGCTATTTGTGGCGTGTTGGTGCGCGGTGCTTGCGACGGCGGTGGCGGTGGCCGCGGCGGCGCAGGAGCTTCGCGTGCTACAAGCAGATGCTCGCGCCATCTTCTTTTTGGGCATCGCGGCGCCGCCCTCGGCCACCGACGTCGTGCGCGCGTTCAACCACTCGCTTGCGGAGATCTCACAAACTTACCTCGCCGACGACTACCCGCTATATCTGCGCAATATAACGCTGCAACCGCTTTATATCGAGCTACCAGAAGATGAAAGGTAAAGATTTAAAGTAACAAACCTTCTAAAAACATTACAAATGTAGATTTTATAGTTTTTATATAATACCTATTTCTCTTTTTCACTTATTATTAATAATAATAAAAATATTTAACGAGTCGATTATATTGAATCTTTACTAGTTGAAACTGTATCTTTATTTATGTATGTATATAAAAAAGCCTCTTACGCTCCAACACTTAGGAAACAAAAGGAGTTGGTGCATTTTTAATACTATTACTAGCACGGCAATTATAACATGCAATAGGTACCATTAATATAAAATAAAATATCTACGCATTCTAATAAATATAGATATATTATTAATATATCTATATGTATATATATATATATATATATATATATATATATATATATATATATATATATACCTATTGCATGTTAAAACTGCCGTGCTAGTTAGTAACATTATTAAAAAATGCATCAACCCCTTTCTTTCCGTAAGTGTTAGAGCGTAAGAGGCTTTTTTATATAATAGGGTGACAAACGGGCACACAGTCCACCTGGTAGTAAGTGGCTGCTGCGGCACATAGACATCTACATCTATCCTCGATTACAAATCGAAATGCAGAAAGATAGAATGCCTCATTTCCAGTAAAAATGGTCTCCGGTTCTCTACACTCACCACACGAAACACAGCAGCATTAAGATACTATTTTACGCTGGTATTCTGTGAGATCGTGGTCTTTCTCCGGTCGAGCCGACACATTCGTGCTACAACTATACTACTAATATAACCGCAGCATGGCTCTACCACGGCTAAAGGAACAGTTATTAAGGTATCATCTATTGGAATACCAAAAATTATTCTGTTTTACCAGTAAAAGATTAGTGTTGCCTATTCCATTGTAATGAGAAATTATTACGATTTAGTATAAACTTCGAAGCCGCTTCCCGTCGCCAATCAGTTTATTGTACATCGGGCGCAAATGAGATGGTTGTACCGCCATTTTCCGCATCATATGCGATATTTATGATATTTATTATAGTCTAGAAGGTATATCACGCCTACGGCTGAAATGTGATATCGAATTCTCTTATGTCACCACTTCAAAGCAATTCAGAGACAATAGGCCAAATTAATTCAGATCTGTCTCTGAAATCGACGAATATTTTATGTCATAATACAGTCAGAGTCTACTATAACTTTATTTTTACTATGCTGAGTTTTATTGCATTTAATAAATACCTATTGTACTTTTTCATTCGTTATAAATAGGCTATTGATTTAATTAATTTAAATAGGGTAGTAAAATTAAAAAATATCAAACGCAATAAATAATTTAATTTTATAACATAAATAACGATTTATGTTACAAACTTTAAAATAGGGGATATTTAAAAAGAGTAAATGATATAAATTATTAGAGTAATATATTTTAAAACACTTTTTTTTTATTTTTTTATTTATATTGAAGTCGGTTGTACAATTTTTTCTATTTTACCACTTGGTTAGAATCCATTCAATTCTTAGTAAGGGTTAACGGATATTGACTCCAATTTGATACCAAAAAACCTACGAATATATTAAGGAAATGACGTCTTAGTTACTTATAGGAGGCAAATCGTGAATGCGAGCTACTAAAGCCTCCGGGCAGACAATAATTAAAACTCTACTTTATTAAGTCTATACTACCCATGATATACGGCGACCTTTTGCTAAACATTAAAATATATCAGAAACATTTATATTATAGCTTCGTATCGGAATGAGATGGCCAAAATGTGCCCCAAGCTGTACAAAAATAAAAATATTGCTATTAATTTAAATAAAATAAAAAAAAATTGAATAACTATGAACATTTCATAGCCGCTGTTGAAAAACAATCAAGTTTAAAAGTATTTAAAGTGATTTCTTCTCTTTGAAGTCACTCTATAGCACCTTTAATGTGGCCATATAATACTTAAAAAGATCAGAGTATGGAAAAACAATAGCTAAACTTATAAAAAATACTTTATGTGTCGATATCTTATGTTTAAAAATAAGCCTTCAATTAAAGAATTAATACATCAAAATGATCAAAATACACTAAAGGATAGGATTTTATTTATTTGTTTAATACAGCAACAGCTTAAACATGTAGCGTTACTGTTAGCGACGAAATGTGAATTTAATTACTTATTTAATTTTGTTCTCATTGTAATCTAAAACTACGTTAAGAATGTTAGACAACAAAATGTGAATTTAATTACTTATTTAATTTTGTACTTATTGTATTCTATAACTACGTTAAGAATTTTAGCGACGAAATGTGGTTTTAATTACTTACTTAATTTCGTTTTCTATTGTAACTTAGAACTACGTTAAGATAGACTTAGTCAATAAGATGTTTAAGTATACTCTGCATAGTTTTTAGGATTAGCAAGCGTGATGTTGTTATCATGATTTAATATTGTGCATTCCTGCCGCCTGGCAGCGCAGCGGAAGCTATACCGTAAGAAGACCGCTTCTTACGGTATAGCATCTTACGGTATAGCATAGAAGGGATGTTTTACCACAAAAAAGGATTTGTAAGTTTTCCATAGAAAGAGTTGCCCGCGCTCTGATTGGTTGACGGTAATCCATTAGTGCTGTGCGCAAAATTTAAGAATTGTGATTGGTCAGAGGCGCCTATAAAAAAGATGCGTTTTTGTGGTCAGGCATTCCGAATCAGGCAAGCGTAAGAAATAACAACAAGAAAATAAAATAGAAGAAACTCTCAAGAAGTGTTATCATTGCTCATCCTACTGCTACTGCACTCTCTCCACATTCCGCCAGCAAACCCGCTCCACTATCAACACACTCACACACACACACATATGCGCGCGCACACACACACACACACACACACACACACACAAACCGCACGCCGCCCGCCGCCCGCGCCCCCCCCACAAACACACACAAACACACACACACACACACACGAGCGTCAACATTGGTCCTTCGAGAAGCCGGATTGGCTTCAAGAAAAACTGGGAAGATGCCTACAAATACGAGATCAAAATCAGTGCAGTCGAAGTGACTACGAGTGAAAGTAACGCTACTACGGGTAGCAGTACGAGGGATTGGAGTATGTATACTCCGAGTGAATCTACGAGCGCGACGACTACGAACGCGTCAATTTCAAATCGATCGACGCTTACAAGAAGATCACCGCCCAGCAGCGTACACAGACAACCCGTAATTCATACCAAGAACACTGCCGGAGAGGAATCAACAACAGAGGACGTAACTTATACCCCCCCCCCCCGACCCGCACCATCGAAGCGTCAGTTCCTCGTCAAGAAGAGAGTCATCCAACGCCGCAGATTCAAGAAAGAAGTGTCGCAGTAAAAACACGTCTGAACGAGGGAAGCACACCAACGTCCAGAGAAAAGAGTCTGCAGCGGCCTCACCCTAAGAAGACGACCCGCGATATAGACACACATTCTGTTCGCTCGTCGCATAGGAAGAGCATTAAGAGATTAGCAAGGCATTAAGAGAACTAGAACTGGCAGAAGCTCGATCAAAAGTTGCTAAAGCTGATTTAGAACTTCTCACCGCGGAGTCAGAAGAAGAAGATGGTGCCGGAGAAAAACTGTTCGAACGAACTCGAGAAGTCGAGCGGTAGTTCATCCAGACCGAAGACATGCCTAATAAGAATCACAAGCCGATCGAGGCAGATGAAAACAAGAATGACATCCAGGAAATAACTTCAGTCATATTTAAGTTATCCGAGAAGTCACGAGACGTCGTTTCACCAAAGCACCTCGAACTCCCTCATTTCAACGGGGCCTGTGAAGAATGGTTGGCTCCCAAGAGATCATACGAAGATATGGCCGCTTCTTTCAGTAACAATCAGAACCTACCGCGCCTTAGAGTAGCGATCCAAGGAAAAGCTAGAGAAGCCGTCTAAAGCCTGCTGTTCACCGCTGAAGACCCACGCGAAGTAATCAAGGGACTAGAAGCAAGATTCGGAAGACCTGGAGCACTGGCATTAGCAGAACTAGAAAAAACGAAGAAGCTCTCAAAAGTCGGCGAGAACCCAAGCGAAATATGCGTATTTGCAAGCAAAGTAAAGAACGCCGTCGAGACAATCAAAGCCCTGAAGAAACCACAGTATCTCAGTTCCCCTGAAACACTGAGAGTTATAGTAGACAAGATGCCAACATCAATGAAGTTTCGTTGGTTCGCCTACCACAGAAGCAGAAGAGATGAAGAAATTCAAGAACTATTACTCGTCAAAGCGTTCCTGGAAACAGAAGCCGACATGTGCGGAGACTTCGCTCCACCTGAAGCACCTTCGGAGCAAAAGAGAGGAATAAGAAAACCCGTTCATTCGGTACAAGAAGCTTCAATAGAAAAATATAAGAAGTCATGTCCGTTCTGTGAAGAAGAACACTTCGCACTAGAATGCAAGAAGTTCAAAGAAGCTAACCTGAATGAAAAATGGGATATGACCAAGAAGGCAAAAATATGCTTCAAGTGCCTCCGATTCAAGCACTCAAGAATTAACTGTAGAGCCCCAGTCTGCAAGCTGTGTAAAAGATGGCATCATACCATCTTGCATTCGGACAAACCACCAGCACTAATAGAAAAAGAAGCGAAGGAAGAAGACACAGGTGGCACGTCAGAAGAAAAGGTCGCCTCAATTCACAACGCCAAAGGAGAAGAGAAGGCATACCTGAAGATGATCCTAGTGAACCTCTGTGGCCCAAAAGGCGTGGTTCGCGTGTTATCATTACTAGACGAAGGGTCAGCGGTCACACTCTTAGACGCATCAATCGCTGAGAAGATCGGAGTCGAAGGAAAGCAAGAAAAACTTACGATCGAAACAGTCGGCGGGAAGGTTTTAAGAAAAGATAGTTCACAGAAGATCGAGTTCAAAATAAAAGGGGCTCATAGAAGAGAAAAGAGAACTATCGTAACAAGAATCATCGACGACCTGAAGCTGTCCGAACAATTTATAAACAAGGACACTGGGGACTAATAGTAACAAGAAGACTGAAGAAGGGCAAACC